GTATACAATAATAATCATCATAGGAATAATGAAGATCAGAGGACACATATAGGTCCTCTCTTATTTGCCACACGAGGGCATTGATCTTCTCACTTAAGATTCACAATCTCCACAGTCATCCACGCATCGTTACATGCTAAATTGCTTAGAAATATATAAATAAAATTGTACATACCTAGTGGATGCTGGTGAGAGTAGAATGCACGTGTGCAAGTAATCGAACACTAGATACGACGATCCAAGCGTTCCACTGTAACGAAGTATTCATGCATCTTGATTCCAATCTGACCCAAGTGGCAATACCTTGCGGGACACTTTGACTCAATGACATAACCGGTTGGACGAGCTAGAAAATTTTATAAAAATCATGTTAGACCTTAAGATATTTCCATTTCCGATAAATTAATTTACATTCTGAAAAGTTAATGCCAGAGATTTATCATTTTTGCAGAGCATTAATTGGAAATAAAGATAAATTAGTTGGAAAATATTTTCCAATAATAAAAATCAATTAAATATATTCAATATTATTATTTAAGTATAATTATAAATATTTGAAATACTTCTTACATTAGTAATATGCGTTACAGTTGTGTTCAGTGACATAACGGGTTTGGAGCAACTAGAATAATCAGCCAAGAATTTCAGACATCTGAATTATTTTCATTTTTGATAAATTAATGTGTATTCTAAAAAAACATCAAGTTATAAGTAAAATATTGTAGAATTGATGGTGTTTAGCTGGCGCCTTAAAAAACTTTATGAGCAGTTTACGAGCTGTAATCGCCTTCGTGAGTAACACAATACCAGCTAATTATAGAGTAAAGCATACACAGTCTCTTGATGCACATTATAAACTTGCATACGTAAACTTAACTTTAAGCCCTCCTGAGTTGTCAATTTTTTCATTTTTTTTCTATTCATTTTATGTTTCATTAAAGTACACATCACTGTCCTGTCTTCAGTGTATCCCTTCTCCCCTCTACACATGCTTTGCTGTTAAGACACTAATGCGTCTTTGTTATTACATACTGTCGTATAAGAATTTGCAGTCCATTAAAGTCAGACGTGATGATTTTTTGTAATGAACAAAATAATGGAGATTGTGTAAGTAATTATGAACTTGTGCATGTCGTTTTGCAATAAAACAAAAGAGAAACTTGCCCCGATGGTGACAGGGCGATTTCAACGACCCTCATCCTGTAAACTAGGCATGAGGGAATTCCACACTAAGAAGCAAGTGATTAATGATATCCAGAATCAAAAAAGATCGTTCCACCCTTCGCCGTTTCTCTCTTTCTCTCACTTTGTTCCCTTCTTTCTCTTATTCTCACTCTCTTCAATATTCTACCAACAACGGAGGTAATTAAATTCAGATTAATTTATATTTAAACACTTTATGACATTAATAACTCAAAACTTTGAAAAAAATATCTTTTCTTGTCACTTTTAATTATTTTCAATAGAATTCAACGAATAACAGAAGTCAAAGCTCTCGAAACTTTTACGGGATAATATTTCAAAGTGTATTTCATCTTTAGAGAAAGCGTCGTCGGAATGTCGAGAGTAATTTCGACAAGCACACACGACAACTACTCATTTGTCATGAAAGTGACACTCGTCAATGAGTGACATTACTCTGTTACTTAACATGTGGAATTTTTTTTTTCAGATTTGGACAATAGTCAATTATATAACAAAGCAGGTATTCTGTAATATAAATAGATCCATTTCAATGTATTTTATTTGTAATGAAAAAATATGATTTAAAAGAATAAACTATTCGTTGGTAGAAAATTCTTATAAATAAAATTCATTAAATATTTAGCGAAAATTTTTCAATTAAATACTTCAACAGAAACATCTAGAGTATTTACTTTTTTATCATATTTTTTTTAGTTTACTAAATAATGAAAATAATAAAATGTCATTTATCACAAATGCTATATTCAGGCAATTATAAAATTCAATTTAATTTTTAATTTATATAAAAAAGTTATCAATGGAAAAATATTTACTCTGGTTTATAAAAGTCTCTATGATTTAACTGAGTGTCAAAAAGATTCATTGAATATATATCAGGAAGAAGGAGAAAGAGCTAGTTTTGTATAATTTTTATTCGAAATCAGTAGGAAAAAGGGGTTGAAAGTCCATTGGGATTGAGAGTGATGTTTGCAAGGAGCAAACGGTGTTAATTAAAATCCCTCAGTGAAAGAGAGACTCAGAGGTTGGTAATCAACAGATGCCCAGCGGGTTAAGAGGATGGTCAATGGATGTAGAAGGTAGTGTGCATAAGTCTTTACCCCCTTTAGTCCGAATCAAGCGTTGGCGATATTGCTTGAGGCGTTCGTCTATCGCGTTTACTCAATAACTTTAGTCTTGGAATATAGAACTCACATATTCGTTCTGTTATTTCTCTCTCTGATCTCTGAATCAACTTTAACTTTTTGCTTTCCAAGTCACGTGTTATTTCTCTTCATTATAGTTGCCAGTGAATCAAATTCTTCGCAATTCATAGCTTTATTTATTCAGGAGACACATCAAAATCCTCTTGTATATCTGAAAAACAAAAAAAAATTATGTTGATGTTGATAGAATTGGTAAACGTGTGTACACACTTTTAGCACTTAAAAACTTGTGATATACGTTGATGTCAAACATGAGGAAAGAGATTCCGTCGTCGTTTCTATTTATATGCAGCAGTAAGAGCCTCGTCCAGAAGCTACAGCCGACGATAACCAGGGCGTCGCGTTGACGGGCGGCCCGGTTAGTTTGTTTGGCACATACGACTCCATTGGTTGACAAACATGCGAACATGACACTATGAACATGAAGATGAAGAAACGAAACAGGAGTCTGAATGACTAATATGAAGCTTGGGGACAAGTGACAGAAATCGTTGTGGTTTGTTTAGACAAGCTGTTATTCATCGAGGACGTCGAGCTGAAAAGCCAGCTGGAAATAGAACTGACGAGAAGAAGCAAGCAAAAGCGCGTGGGACTTTGGAGATTTATCATGATTTAATGGAGTTACAAATCGTAAAAAGTTCCTGGAGATGAGACTTTGTCAACGACTTTGTCAAAGTCGTGTCAACACAAAGTCTCTTTGCCAACAGCTGGATGTAGCTGGTAGGCTATTTTAAATATTAACGACACAACACTAAAGACAATCATGTAAGGCATACATAGAATACTTTAAGTCATGCTACAATAATTCTATCGAAATGTTCAAAGTTATTTTGTCAAGATAAGTCGACTATATGTCTGAACGTGTTAAGTTTGAGACACGATCAGCTTATTCCACTTCTCTAGACGACCAAGCAATAACACGATTAAATTTTGTAACTAATTACATCAAGAATCAGTTCTTGATTAAAATTTACGTCAAAGAGTTTTCTTTCAATTTATTGCAGATTTCTCTTATTAAATATAAATACAAAAAAAAATATTGTTGTATATTGGTAAAAATTTTGATACAATAATGAAGATACTGATCATTTATTTATCATTATTTATAGACAAAAAGTAGAATTAAGAGTTTTCAATAGATACTTAAGTCAAGTAAAAGGTTAACTTGAGAAATCATAATAATTTAGATTTAATGATAAGAGTTTAGTAAATTTATAAAAAAAATATATATTATTTATTATTTAAGAAAAAGATGAGAAAGAAAAATCAGTCCAACCTTTAATCTTCAGAAAAGACAAAAGAGAGGGAATTCAATCAGAGCTAAATGTGAAAATATACTCCATCATCATGCTCGTTGCGTGACCCTGATCAAATGTTCGTCACGGCGCAATTAATAACGAGAAACGTCTGATGTGGGTGCGGTCCAAGTTATTGCTCTGGCTGAATAACGAGGAAACAATTGAACCTATGACGAAATATTGCCAAGTCATCATGTGATTTTTCTACAAAATTTATTCTTCACAACTGTGGATAATTTTTTTTGTTCCACGTATGGAAAATTGTGGTTATGCTTTGTAGATTGAGATATATATATTTTTATAATTTAGAAAGAAAGAGAGGGTTAATAGTAAACTTCTATGGATTTACCTAACAACCGTACACTTCGATGAGGTAATTTTCTTGAGGTTAGAAGCGGAGGAGGACGAAGAGGATCAAAGCGGCACGACGAAATTACCAAGACGTGCGACACGAGAGTCGTGGTAACCAATTGGTATATAAGTTGTTCGATCTCCAGGCAAAATTCCTCCAGCCACTGTCTTTTATGTTGATAAATTGATATTGCATTTCTGAAACACAAATGGAATAATTTATTTATGAAATATTAAATAAATTTTTATATTATTTTGAAACATCTATTTTGAATTAAAAAAACATGAAGAATTTAATAACAAATAAATAAAAATGCCGAAAAAGTATATATCTTACAGAATTATGTCGACAGAAAAGTCTTTTCCTGGAGCTTTCTCAGAACGTATAGATTCCAGTTGGTCAATTTCCCACGCGATAATTACCGTCTTTCTCTCTTAAGTCGAAAGCTGGACCCTCGTTTCAGGCGATTGAAGGAAACGTCTTGGATCAGGGCTCTGTAATTACTTTTGTCTAATTTTTTTCCATTACAAAAAGAGGATTAGATAAAAACAAAAAAAATGAAAAAATAATTGCTATCAGCCTTAGACGACTTTCAAGATGTCGATAATCTCGAGGTCGTGGTACGAAGTCTGTAGCTGACGTCGATTAATCACTTAGCTGTGTGCTGTGGCCAACGACGCGACGCTGACTTCGCAGCAACCACCACTCTGCCTATCATATCAACGAGTAATTGAAAGATATCCGGCTGGAAAGCTTCCCGTGATTTTTTTTTGTAATGTCACTATACTCTCCAGTTGCTGCGTCCAACGATTACTGCGTGACTTGCACCATACGAGTGTTTGCGTGCTTCAATGAATTAAATTGACAGCCTAAGAAAGCGCACATTCACCTTGATTTCAATTTCAGACAATTGCCGTAGCAGAATAATTTTTTCCCCGCTAATTTATTCCACCAACTGAATACACAAGCAAGTTGACGAATTGCCATTATTAATTATAAAGAGTTGTAGCATTTAACAAAGTTTAAGTTAGCTGTGTCGAGAAACTTGTTATAAAAACATTCTTCATCTTACTTTACACTGCTTAGGGTAAACGTTGACGTGTAAGGGAAGTCATAAAGCATCTATTCTTGTATGCAGTTTTGATGATATACCTTTGGTTGAAAAAATTCCATTCCAAGACAATATAGGACACGAATAGACACTGAGATACCTATCAAGATCGAAGATAATAAAAATGTCCATGAGCATATCTCATTTCCGCGTACATCTAGCGTTTGAGTAGCATCCGCTCCTTGGCATCTGGTATATCAGAATTACTATCGCCTGAGTCCAAAGCCACGAGAAGAAGGAATAGAGGAAGATAGACGATGAGCTCGGGTAGATTCGTTGCTCGAACGCGACTACGACAAGGAGTTATGATATCGGTGCCGATCGCTGTGGCCAAGTGAAAACATGGTGGCGTGAGTAATATAGAACCACAGGGTGATCTTTTATGGCAGCTAAAAGAAAAGAACTTAGCACACACAGTGGAGAGAAGAGGGAACAAAATGATCCAACTTCTAGAGATGGTATCGCTTCTCTTGGCAATCCTGAGGAAAGAAGAGAGAGGGTCAAGGTGATGCGATCCCGGAGCAGTCATCGTACTGCGTCGTAAATAAAGACTAGATGCTACCAGTGCCAATCCACTCGTCCAAAGCCTTTTTCAGCCTCAAGAGCCACTGAATTGCCATTCTTTCTGCTTGGAATCCTACCTTTGATTGAGACTTAGTTTGGAATTTTTTTCACCCAGAAGGTAGGCAATTCCGGGAGCTTCAATTTTCTGTCGATATCACAGATTGCACCGAGAGGAAAGCCTACAAATTGATCAAGTACAACTCACTAGCCATCATCGTTTCTACGAGTTGATTCAGACTGTGGTTTTGCTACCGATCCCATTCAATCTTAGTCTGAAGTTCAAGTAATAATAAAGTTCTACACACCTGCCCCGACACTTTATCCCAGTGCTCACGCCTCGATTTAATCAAGTACAATGTATCGACGTAAATTAGAACACCACAGCAGCTGGTATTTTTTTAAACTTCATTTATTCCGGTCAGATTGATACTTTCCATGTCATCAAATTAGTAGCGGAACCCTCCGACTGCATTCTATAAAATTAGTCCTCATTTGGTATTGCTTCTATCAAGCTATATAAAAAAGGTAAAAAATAAATTGATCATTATCGTTCCTCATGCTATGCTGCATACATTTCCGATGTAATTTGGCTATGATTTAAATGATTGGATGGTACCCATCGATGAAATGCCATGGCTTGATGGTTCAGCTATGGAATAATAACCCTCTTGACGATCTAATGCATTCGACATCTACACGCATCTGGTTGTTTTCACGTGGAACCAAACTATCGTCAAAATTTGCGAGGTGATTAGTCAAGGAGCTCTCTCGGGTATAATCGTCGTAGCTACCATCGTCATTGAGAGACTCTTGTCCCTATCATTTAATACCAATACTATTTACCTTCTGATTTTATCCCTCACGAACACAGTTCAGCGAAATACGTACTAAAAACCTGGTACTTAAGTCTCGAAACTTGTCACGCAAACTCATTGCCAAAACAGAATGAATTTAAACCATTTGCCACACGCAGACTTGAATACTTTATTTAAAAAAAATCACCCGTTCATTTTCTGCAATTACTTTGGAGATTGTCAATTTAATTTCCGTTAGTTTTAAATTTTTTTCTCTTAACATTTTCCTCGAACTTGTCAGATAATTATCTATATTTGCTTTATTTTTTTTCTACTTTTTTTTATGAAATTGATACATTAGTGACAACGAGCTTCATTGATTACAGACATCTGGAAAAATAGTTTGACATCACTAGTGGTTGTTACGCACTAGCGGTTCTTACCCTCTTCTAGTCACATCCCTTGGCCATTTCCTCTTCCTTCTTTTACCCATCAATGATTATCAATTGTGTTTGTTTACTTTTTTTTCAATAATTAAATAATTATTAATATCTTTATTTAACTTTACTATTTTTTTTTGGAATACCTTGAAGGAATAATTGAATTAGGATCATTTAATATTTGAACTTTCATTTGGTCGAATATTATTTTATTTGGCTCATCAGATATTTTTTGAGTAGAGTCTAGTTTTTCTTCTGGATCAAACTCGTGTAAAATAATTCTAGCAGTAGGCAATTCATCATTCTGATCAGATAAAATAGCTGGATCAAGAATTTTTTTCAAACTTGTTAATTTCTCTATATCTGAAGCCTTCACGATAGCAACATCTTTCTTAGGATTCGGTGGCTCTGGTAAGATTGAAAACTTTATGATATTTTTTTCTTTTACTTTCAGTGGAACTGCAGCCATTTCGGCTAATTTTTTTAAGTGCTCTCTCGTTCTCATACTAACTTCTTGCCAAGCAGAAATGTCATCAGGTTGATCTGCATCTCTTATAACATTTAAATTAGTTTCTTTTATTGAATTGTCTGATGAAAAAAGCATCCGTGACTGATAACTCAATTCTTCAGTTCTTCTTTCAGGAAGAAGAAGATTAAATTCCTTATTTGGAGCAAAAAAATTCAACGAGTTTACTAAATTCATCACTTCAACAAATGATTCACACCCTAATATTTCCTCTGGTACATCAACTTTAAAGTCATCTGTCATATTTATAGGTTGTACAAGACATTTATGCCATTTTCGTTCAGAAATATTCATCAAAAATTTGAAATCCGAATGAAAATTCCATATTGAGTTTTTAAATTTTTTCAACATGTGATTAATAATTTTACAAGTTAATAATAAATGAATTTGAAGATTAGTCATACTGATGAATTTACTACTCACATAATAAACATAAATTGAAACAGAGATGTGTGTATAGTAAAATTCATTCAAATGTTTTTTTTTTCTTTCGAAATATATAAAAGTTGTATGAAGTTTTCGAGTAACCTGAAAAAATAACATAATTCATATTAGATAAAATAAATGAAAATGAATGGAGAAAAGCAATATTTTTATACCACACGACAAAGTATTAAATCATCTACTGAATCTCTTAACTTTGGTTAATCATTACCAAAACTTTTGCCCTCTAGAGACTCTAGAACCCTCATGTTCAGTAATGATATAATAGACACTTTCTTTCCCATAATATTGATCCGAGAGTACGTGAAAATGTCAAGAATAAATAGAAAATTCAGAATATTCGTATTTTGTTCCATCTATTATATTTCTATTCAAAGTCCCTAAACACAATCGAACAAAATTCTTTATCATGAAAAAAATAAACGTCCTATAAATTGCAGGATCAAATAGTGAAAATGGTCGTGGTCATTCATACCACGTACACTGATAACCATGGATAAAAGTTTAAAAAACGTTATCGTAAGAATTCGTAGGACATTAAAAAAACGCACGTGTCCTTAACGGTAGTGAGTCGATGCAATTTTAAAAGGGCTATTTCGTCCCTCTCAATCGTTTCAAATAGGTCGGGGAGCAGTGACACATGTCCCCAATGCTACTACATGAATCCACAACTGCTGCTGTTGGAATATCAAGTGGGATCATGAAAAAATTTTGAGGAATTAAAATTTATCTTACCAGAATTCACTATCTAGACAATACAAATATTAAAATTTTATCTGTTATTATCGAATAAATATATTCTAAATGTGAAATTAATAATTAATAATTACAACCTTGAATGAATCAATAATTAAATTGATATTAATAAATTTATTATCTACTATTGTAAAAATAATTGTGAGCGAAATTGAATTGAAAAGGACATGGGTGTTCCCACGAGGACATAACTGTTATTTCTTAGCAAGCCAACAAGCCAGGACATTAGCAATAAATTCGTTGGTCCCCAGTGCCAAATAGCAGGGTCGTACTATGCCAATTGTATAAATTGGCTATGACAAAGTTATCGTAGACGTCATGAATCTATCATTGTATCCTTTTCTGGTTCTTTTTTACTTCACTTTTAGCTTCTTATCGCGAGCACATATTTTGTTAAACCGCGAGGGAAAAAGAACGACCAATAGTTTAGCAAGAAGGGAAGAATGAGGACATGTTGCAGGTGCGTGTGACTGTCCCTCGTGATCGTTTGAGACATCGTTCCCGCGAGGTTAACGCTAGCAAAACGTGATGTTCAACCTTTGGCCCGCTCATACCTTTAACACTACAGCAGCCTTACTACAGATTCTGTATTCTTAAGATAAAATAAATGTACATTTTTTTCACTATTATTTAAGAAAAAGTAAAATTACAAAATTTCTTTCTAGATAATTATCGTGATTAAATACGTGATAAGAGACTAGTGTTAGAGAGTGTGGACTCGTAAAAAGATGCTAGAGATTCAGAGCTTACAATTTACAAGCTTTACACCCTCGTCTTACGTCGAATGAAACCGCTCGTTTATCAGCAACCGACTCGAGTGAAAGCGACACCGAGGGTTGTACGCGCGACGAATAACAATTCTTATAACATTGCGCTCTTCCACAAAGTAACTTCCTCTGCATAGAAAAAGCTTCGTCTATCAATTCCATATAACGAAAAATACAACAAGGATAGCTATTTTAATTTTACCTATTTCAATCTATAAAATGTTTACAATCAACTCTTAAAAAAAATATTAAATTAATTGATAAAAAACTTAAATTTCAGTTGTATCATCTAACCTGCTCTTTAATCAATTTCTATCAAAGAAAATTTGTTTGATTTCCAGCAGTAGGAATATAACCCGCTAAAATCCTTTGAAATATCTCCAGTAATCCAAGGGAGAATTTGAAATGTAATTCAAACATTTGAGGTTCATGTAAATGTCTTTTAAAAGACTAGCACCTGATCCAATTTAATACTTGGTGGGTCAAGAGGTCTCTTTCCCTTGTTTTCCTTGTCAATAGACAATGTCTAGTCTCATAAAATTCAAACAGAAACATTGGAGAGTTTCTTGTCGCCCCATTTTGCAAGTGTCGTCGTTGTACTGAGCTAATTTGTCAGTTGTCGAGTTAGCGTTCTCCAGGGAATTTACAAGGGGGGTGAGAATTCTCCCTGGCACAAGCTCGGTAATCAACCAGTGAATATCTGAACTGCTTTCGAAGGTTTCCTATACCTCCAGAGTATCTCGTCTCACTTCTCTCTTGTCTTCTCACTCCTTTTCATTTATAAAGAAGCGGCTCTCGTTGGCACGCGATTGATCGAGCTCTGTTTCACTTCTACAAAGGCAAACACACTTTAAAGTTTACTTCTAAATTGTTTTAAGAAAAACGTAAATATTTTTTTTATCTAAGATAATGTTAGCAAGCGGTCTACTTTGAAATCTTCAAATACTTCTTTACGAAAATGTCAAAGATTGTAATAGAGAAGCAACTGAGTATTGAGAAGCTAATGTAAAGCAGTTGGATCATATCTACGTTGTCGCATAAGGAAAAAATGTTGTTCCGGATTTCAGGGCTTTGTAGTCATCTATTTTCAAGTGAACCCCTTGTGTAAATTATTTAAATAAACAAGGATGAGATAGCAGTGAAGATTGGCTGCTGCTTTATTCTACTCTCATCTTGCGTTCCTTCTCTTTCTTTCCTCACTTCATCTCTATCTTTCACCCATCGAGTTGTGTTTTGCGATGCTTCAGTGACGAACAATTATTCCCACTCGGTATGACAGACAGGGGGGGAAACAAGTTCGTCTTCTGTAATGAATTTTAAATTGGCTCACATTCATAATATGAATGCGTTGACATTTAGACAATTCCTGAATGACATTGTCAAATACTTCAAGTTGTTTGAAAAATTTTCCACGACAACTATCGTTAGCAGTGATTTTTTTTTTAGATGCAAAGAAGTGAAGTTAAAAATAACGAGCCATGTGGTCAACATCTCGGACAAACTGATAAACATTGCTTAACGCTACCATACTTTCTCTTATCTCTTTGTTCCGCAGCTTTGATCTTCGCTACTGAAAAATTGATGGCACATTCACCTTATCCTTCTTCTGACATTCAATCGTGATCCATCCATAAGTATTATTGTATCTGTATAAAAGATATATGTTTAATTAATATTCCACTGATGATCGCATTTCTCTTGTCTACAAGTCTACCAGACAATACCTAGTGATGCTATAACAGTCCAAGGGTTGTGGTAACAAGTTTGCGCAGCCAGCCGACAGTGGATGTTACACCAATGATATACGCCAGAAGGTAGCTTTATGCCTCAAGCTATGCTGAGTCTGTAACTTAGCCAGTACAATTACCATGCATCTCGTTACTCTAGTTTTGTTGTAAGTATCACTTTAAATGTACTTTCTCTCAATATTTTATGTTCGCTCTTGGTATATTTATGATGCTCCAAGTAAACAAATTTACCTGCAAAAAAAAAGATGTTAAGAAATGATTTTATTCTCTTTGATGATACATTCATTTAAAAATATCTCTTTTGAAGATGTAATAAATAATAAAATTAAATACAGATGATTTTATCCAGCAATCTCTTTTCTTTAAAAGGAATTAAGAATGTTTTAGGCAATAAAAATATTGTTGGGCATTTATCAACGAAAAAAATGACCATGGCTATGAATAAAATAGAAAGACAAGGGTTTGAAGAGGAAAAAAAAGAACAGAGAAAATCTGTCACCCTCCGGACACAGTTTGTGGTTTTTTATCCACGTCTAAACTGTTGAGGGGTGCTTGTCTTAAGGGCGAGATTTAAAACAATTACAAGAAGTCTCAGCAGCTTGAGGGCTTGTCCGAAGTGTGGGGAGTTAATCTTGAGGGTGGTTTAATTAAAAGTGGTGCCAACTGACGGGTGGCCATCGATCAACACTCTTCTCGTCCCTTGTTCCTTGCTTTAAAATATTACTAAATATATATTTTTCTATAGAAATAAAATAATCAATCAAAAGATATATCTTGAGATTGAAGTCATTATTTTCAAATTTGATTTACTATCGATCATTTGACAATGTGGAAAATCTGTGGTAGGGTAAGATGAGTGAACAATGAGCAATCTTGGAATTTGGAATGTGTCCAACGAGAAATACGTGTTGGATGAGAGTTGCTATGCGGCATTTAAGGAGCGCACGGCATGTCAGTGGGAATGTCCAGCAGGTGACGTTTCAACGCCTGTCTTTGTATCTCCCTATTTCCTTCGTCTTCTCAGGAGTCATTTCAATGTCTTTCGATGTTCTAAAGTTCTACACACAGAGAAACCTGTTAATGATGACTTGAAAAAGATTTTTCAAAGGTCAAAGTACCATTGATTGACAGAAAAAAATTAAACAGGTTTTTCATGGTCAATTGTGTCGTTTTTTTCATGATAGATTTATTTTTGAAGATCCATAAAAAATTTATTTTGGTGAAAATAACTGTTTTGTTGTTGTATAAAATATTGTTACTTAATGAAGTAACATATCCATCATTTCTTTTATGTTATTTATCAAGAGGAAAAAAAATACTTAATATCTTTAATATACATTAAAATATAAAATCAATGAATTACAAAAAAGAATTCCCCTGCTTTGACTATACCGAGGTTTTCATATTGAAAGTAACCTTTGAAAAAGATTGTAGGAGTTAGGGGTTAAGTTTTCACTTGAATTGGAAAGCCTTTTGATCGTCCTTCAGGATGATCCTGTTTGCTGTGAATTTGTTTTTCTTCAGTAGCAAAGAAACATTCAAGGAGAGAAAATTCACTCGAATCTCTGGCATTGAGCTTAAGAGCACAATTGCAAGTCGGAAAAGAAACGAAAAAGGATCGTGAGACTTCGCGTGCAGCATGGTCATCCCTCGTCTTGAGAATTTATGCCCGTTGTCCCTATACCATCCTAACTAGTCCACCCACTTACTTTCTCACAACCCTCAAAGACGTAACTGAAAGTAGAGGGGTGGACTTACCAACAGACACCCTTAAAATATCACCTCCCGTGTTTTATCGTGCTTCTACCTAGAGTCTCCAAAGTTTCTTTTTGTCTGCAAGCTCCAATACCTATTTCTTTCCTCTACAAGGGGGGATGAGAGAAAAGTGGAGCCTCAGAATGTGCAGTCCAATCGATTTGAAAATCTCTCAGAAGCGAATATGTAAAACGGGCATTTACATACCAACTGTTTTATCGCTAGTGACTTCTAAACGTCTCTCAACCCTCGCCAAGACCCACTATCTCGCACAATCTTCAACAACCCAAGGATATTCGTGGACATTGGCCAGGAAGTGTCGATGGATTTATGGTCAAGGCTGATGAAAATCTACCAACTACTATATATTTTTGCTTAACTTGTTTAAGTGGTTGCAACTTTTTATTATCTAGGAAAAAAAATCCAAATTAGTGCTAAAAATAAATGAGTAACTAAAAATATCAAAATTTTTTGATTAAATAAAAAGAAAATAATTCTATATTTATTTTTTTCTAGACTATAATAATCTATTTGTCTTCTTGATAGGGACATTTAGGAGCAGTGAATAGAGGTACTTGCTTCAAATTGTCTGTACCATGGACACCTTAACAGACCGTTGTGAACCCTCGGAACTTAACGAACCGCAAATGCGTTGTTTTAACGGCGTCATTAATATTTAACCAAATCTCTAGAATTCACTTCAGGGGTCAAAGTGATACGTTTATCAGAGATTGTTATAGATAATCCCAATAAGGTGAAATTGAATATGAATGAAATCTCATACTCGATTCAGGAAGAAAAACTTGCCAGTCAGAAAGAGAAGTGATCAAGAGGATTCCTAAGTAGTCTCTTGGAGTTTCTTTAGTAAATCCGGGGTCTTAATTGTCTCTATTTATGCCCCTTTGGCTTCCGATCGGCAAAGAATTACGTGACATGTTTATGAAGAAAGTAGCAAAAGCACTAATACTGGGTGCCCTCAATCAAGCTATCGCACTCGCTTTTTCCTGCAGGCACATGCTTTTGCCACACCTCCTTTAGCATCTATACTCCCTCTTCGAAAGTGTATTGATCTTTGGGAGCACTTTGATCTACAAAAGGGTCTCTTTCTCTCTCTTTATCTCTTCTCTCTTACACCCACGTCAGACTAAACTATTTTCTTACTGAGCTTAGGTGGCTACTCGAACTGTTTCTTTTCTCTTATTCTTACATAAGATCACGTTCATCAACTAAGTTTATCAGGGACTCCCTTACTTTTTTCCCTCAACCAGCGACAGAAGTGCTAGCGTAATTACTGAAATAAGTTTGCGGTTGAAGAGTCACTAGTTACTGAACTTGTCTACTTGGTGAATACTATGGACAAAGTTAGGAAACACGATGATGAAAAAATTCTTTAGATTTATCAGACAGTAGAAGAATCTCGCGATTCGTATTTTCGTTGAAAAATCGACGACATAGAGTAATTTAAGTACGACCCTCGTCTCGTAGATCAGCCGCTTTAGTGTGAGAATATTTAGGGAGTTAATTGCCACGATATATTTTATTACGATTGCACCAAGTGCTTTAGCTGTCTCGTTAATTACTTGTCAGTTTTCTTGGATTTTAAATTTAAAAACAAATGTACTTACTCTGTTGTGTACAACTTAAAAAATAATATCTTACCTTCAATGCTATTAATTTTTATTAAAAAAACAAATACTTTATCACATAAATTTACTGAGAATGAATAAGATAGTTGAAAAAATTTCCATGTGATCTCTGTTGGAAGCATGATGAGAATTCAAGCCAAAGGGTAAGAGATTCCGTTTGTAGTAGTTAAATGCATTTGACAACAAGAGTAATATTCCCAGAGAATAATTTCTACCCCAAGATTCGTTTGTCTATAAAACGAGAATTATTCTGTCTAGTATTAAGTCTTCACATCAGATAAACCCAGCTCTATTCTTGATATAAAGACAATGTGTATACGAGTCACGCTCCTAGAATAAAACTCCTAACAAACATCAAGGAAATAAGAATGAACCAACGTTATCCTCAATGAAGGGGTTTGACAAGGACTAAAATCATTTTGGGAATGGACATAGTAAATAAAAGAAAACTGGCCATATGAGTGACCCTTTGAACGCACCTTCCTGATCTGTCTTATTTCGTATTTTCCCCTAATATTAATTTAATAACGTCAAAACGTGAGCAATCGACAGGCAATAACAGTATAGCAATCAAGAGACGTCCGTCCTGGTGGTTAAGTAACCCTTTTTCGTTGTATTCAGAGAAACAAACGGGAGGGATCTTATAAGGATAAGGGAGAACTTTAACCCCTTCATAAGTGTCACTCCGGGCCAAGTGGCTGCTTGTTCTTGTTGATTTCATCGCTGTCTCTTTCCTTTTACTACCCCTAGGGAATCACCAACGACATAAGGATTTCAAGGGTCCATAGACCACGTTATTTGACCTCCAAGCTTGCCACTTTGACGATCTTAAGCTCCACGTCTTAGGGTGGTTCAATTGAGTAAATGTTTCGAATAACATTTCAAGTTAACTTGAAGCTATTTTGTCATCAAATTCCTGTACATTTAATTTTTTTGTTTAGAGTTAAAGCTGAAGATAGGACACAGCAATGAAAAAGCAACGATAAATCGCACTTGAAGAAGAGCAAGTCGTTGGAGAAACGTGATGTGAGGTGGAAAAAATAGCTCGAGTATACGATTGGTAGAAGGGTGGAGAGAGAGCTTGTCGTGAGGTCACCTCGACTTTGGTATAAATATTTAAAGTCCCGAATTAAGTCGAGATGATAAAGCGCTTCCAAGTAAGAAACTCTGTAAGCTCTGGCTCATATCAGTTTTGAATGCTTCTACACTTCCTCCTGGCTTCTAAGCCATCATGTGGATTCATTCACTATATGTATATCGAGACTCCTTGAGAGCTGTCAATCCTCTTGAGATTTCAATACTCGAAAGACAGACCACACGAGTCGTGACATCGATATCAAGAATAGTAAAGATTACAATTTGCTTTTTGACTGATGATCGCTGTACTGAAAATAAACATATCAATTTGATTTTTATTTAGACCCTGAACTGCTTTTAAGAGTTTTTGCGAAGACACTAAAAAAAAAGATAGATCATGTGACGTCATGATGGAAAAAAAACATCTCCTGACAAGAGATTGCAGACACAGAGCTCGTACGAGTTGAGATAACGTGAGTGCACCCTCCCGCACGTGCTTCTGCACCAGAAATATCCGAGGACACATGCATGATCTCTACTCTGAGTGTTACTTATACTGAAGTCTCGAGCTCTGCTGTTTTCGCTAAATTATCAACTCCCTCCATCGGGAGATCGAATGTCTACCATGTGCGTGCGACGCTTTTAGTTTCCGCGTCAATTTTAGAAATAGTTAACTCGACCTTTCACCCAAAAATATCTATACAATATGGGCAGATTCCTGTAGCTCATTTCATAACTATTTTTTCTTCAACATAAAATGGAGAAAAAATGTTACCTCGTAAATTAGAAAAAAAATTAACATCTAAAAATATCCGAGAAGTGCAGATGTTAATAAAATTTTCATTTTTCCACTTACCCAGCACAACTATCATCATCTCCGGGAGTGAAACTCTTGCTCGTGTCCCACGGTGGTCGTATCGAAGTCATCTTGAAGCTCCTGTATAGGCTCTTATAGGCGTAGAATGCACTATCCACCCTGAGAAGAGTAGAAGAAAGGAAGAAAAAGGTGTTTCGAACGGCAATCCAGTAGGACGTGCCTTGATGCGGCGTGGTGGCTCGAGATACGTGCGCGAAGATGCTACTTCTTCCGTTCAACTATGGGTAATACACCTTGGAAAAGAGTCGGTGGATCGCCGTCACGGCGGCAAGTGCATCGAGAGCACCGCGGTCGAGATAATTTGCCCTCCAGAAAATAACAGGGTGGATAGTGCCGCTGGAACGTATATGTGTTCAACGACCAAGACTTCAAGGATCGTGAAGAGTGAGAGAGACAAACCGATGATTCCACGTGAGCTGCAACAAAAACAGAGTAAGAAGGGATAAGTACCTATCGAAGGTCTCTTCGAAGAGATTCATGATGTATATAAGAGACTTATGCAGTCTTATATGAAGGCCATATACTTATTTCATACGTGATGTATTGACTATGTAACGACGAAAAATTTCATTTTAAAATTAAATTAAAACACAAAAGAAAAAATAAGCCTATGACGAATTTCTTTTATTGAACCACTGAAATATATTGATGACAATTATCTAGGGTAAGGTCCAGTGGTTAAAAGTAATTCGTTAGGAAGCTGCGAACAAGAGCAATAAACGTATCTAGAAGAGTATACGTGACCCTCGACCTTCGGTTTATAGGTCTGGTCTGACATGACCCCCGCGAGACTCGATTTGTCAACTCGTTAGTGGAACTCGTTTGACCCCGTACAAACGGTGCGGGAAAGTATCTTGTGCCACACCAGGACTATTGAAGGTTTGTCGTTTTACTGACATAGGTCTTGTATCTCTATCTATCTTTTCAGACCATTATTCTTACGTTCAACAACCCTCTAATCCCATAAAAATAATTCTTACAATTATCTATAAATTATCGTTGATCAGTATAATAGCAGTTTACTATCTTTATAAATGAAGAGAAGCTGGGAACCTTCAGTTTATTTTTTAGATTTTTCAACATTTTCTTCAGCTTGAGTAATTATACTGAAAATAAAGATTATTAATGAAGTTAAATTGACACAAGCGTGCAAAATAAATATAAAAATAGTTGATGTATTATTTGGTTTAAAATTGGTATTTGTCGATGAGAATTTGTTTTTAAATGTTGAGCTGATATTTTTGAAGTAATTTAATGGATATTTTAGAGACTCTTTAATATCTTAAAATCCAAATGCATGAGGCTGCAATCCAAGTGAACGACTTTTACCCTTGCAGTTACTTTTAGCCCTGATCTCTACTATGAGTGAATTTGGAGCAAAAGGGGAATCATGAAGGGTCGGATTTTGCGCAACAGTCTCGTTATAATGCCTTGCCACATTGAGAAAGAGCAAAAGCGAGCAGCAAAGTCGTGAGGGACTTGTGACTGATGTAGGGCGGTTGGCCATTACGTGAAATAGAGAACCATTGGTCACTTGGTACGAGCGTACCTCAAATTGACGAATGGTAATGAGTTCGCCTTGTTAAACGACCACTGCTAGGTAGCTTCCTCGTGAAATTGAACTTTGCATTACTTTTTTTTTCTCCATTCATTACAAGGTTACTTTATTGATGGAACCTCTTTGAAGAATCAATCAAATAAATTATAAGAAAATGTTGAAAAAATCTTTAATTAATTATTGCAAGGACGTATAATGATCTTTACTTGGATGGTGTTTTAAGTACTCCAGTTTCTTGAATGAAACTCCAATTATTTCAGCGTTAGTATCAAATTAACAGAATAAACTTAGAATTTTATTGAACGTCTGAGAATTCTCAAGAGCACTTTCTGCTTGGCAATACTTAACAGACTTTATTCGACATTGTTGAATGGCGGCAGTTGTAAAAATGATAACGGATGACCCGTGAGACTGGGGGCTCTTGGGTAATGAAGTACGGTCAGTGTAGTGGCCGAGTGGAATTGCAAGGGCGATCCTAGAAAGCATGAATTTACACCCGAACGTCAGTAGATGTTACAGTCCTACGGGAACATGAGGACCCAAAGCTTCAAGCCACAAATTTTCAGAGAGTTTATTTACCTCAGATTTTCACCATTTACGTGATTGTTAAAATAAGTGTGTACAAATTGAACAAAATTGTTGGGCAATTCTAGCGAGCTGAAGCAGAACAGAAGAAATATGACAAGAAGTTGAAGTACTCTCCTAAGACCTTATGAGGTCAGACTCATATCTGTCGTGGTAAGTCATTATCTGCAGTTCGTGCTCATCTTCAAATTGCCGATATTTCGTACTGACTTCGCGCCATATTTTACTCTGTCGTTATACCGGTTTCAGTTACGTGGAGATCATAACTTAAAGACGTGCGTTACTAACTTGCGCGACAGCAATGTATCACAGGCAGTAGTTTCTAAGATGCACTAGAGATCTTATAATTTTTCAGTATAATTTTTAAAATATTACAGCTTTCACTACTGCAACCGTAATTGAAGAGAAATCGAATTTAAATGAAATGGAAAATGTCTTGGTCACATTAGGAGATCAATCGTGAATGTATACGTACAAGATACCTTGAGATTCTCAACCGAGGATGAAATTACTTGGTGAAGTGGAGAGCTTCATGGCACGCCTATAGTAAAAGCCAGTGCAAGGAAACGTCACGTACACGTCCATGGTTACGTGTACTCGCTTCTGCTCGGGGAGTTATTCGCTTGCAAGAGTATATACATGTAGATCGGGCCCCTGTGTACCTATATCCTCACAGAGATCGACGGCTCGTCGGCAGCATTCCGTGTCGGGAGCCGATCCATGCTCCTGGCTGAGTCTGGAAGATTTCTTTTTCGCTGGGCGTGGCTTTAAGAGGCCGAGAGGTCGTCGAAGCCTCTGGGAATATCGAGGACTGTCTCTCGTCGTTCAAGCCTCTTTTTGCACCTGTGAAAATTATCGATAAACTTTCCTGTCTTGCCAACTTTCAAGACCCTGAATTTTCACTTTAGAATCTGATCAAGGCACTTATTTGGAGGCGTACAACATTTGCAAAAACCGTTGCTCAGTTTCTAATCTAATATTCATTGCATTATGATTTTTTTTTCTATCATTTTTTTTTCTTCACGATGTTATTACGTCAATCAGGTCCTTCAGATTGCGTGCTAAGGTCAAAGAAACCTCTTGGTAGCTTATAAGAGGTGATCGGCTTCGTAAAAAGCGAACAAAATCAAAACAGGTGCAATTGACGTCGGCTCTGAGTCTCGAATCATCGAAACAATTACAGAGGCTGCATTGAAGAGGAGTAAGGGCAAAGCCGCCGTGCAATTCTGAGCTACCGTACCTCCTTGTAATTGCCATTGACTGTAATATGGAGCTTTGATCGCTGGGAAAATTCAATCTAAATGACAGTGGTGTGAATTTACGGCCAATTAATTGGGGCATGAGATTATTCCATGAATTAAAAACAAATTCTTACATTCACTCATCTGTGTAGGTACACTATAATTATGTAGTCTAAGGTCAAAGAGAATACAATTTGAAGATGCGCTCATAAAATATCCATATTTTCTGTCTTCTCTCTCGGCGTAATATAAATTTGTCGAACATCACTGCATCTACAGGCCTACACGATTGCGTTCCATGATCAAAACCGACAATTCTCTTTAGTCATTATCCTTTTACTGTCAGAGAGTTATTTAGAGGAGATCTTACAAACATTAGTCAGTTAAGATCACTCGACTGGAAAACTATGTATTATTTTTTCCAATTTGTAATTTACCATCAATATTTTTATCTCTTTAAACTCTACTTCGTGCTCATCTCCATCGACATCGAAAAATTATGATAAATATTGATTATAAACTTCTGTTTCTGCTACAGCATTTTCATCCATATTAGTCTGATTATTCTTGTCCTGTTTCTACTCGATTGCAATTTCTCAAAAGAGAAATTAATTTTAGTCCATTTATTTAGCTTGAGATTGCCGTCAAGAGACATGCAGAAGTGTCGAATTGCTATTATCGAACGAGAATGGCGTGTACGAAAGAAACGTGTCGTGAGTACAGAAAGAGAAAATGTAAGAGGGTGAACCGATGAGCTGGACATTCCCCTCTCTGTTGGCCTGATGTCGATGTTGGCGATAAATCTCACCCTTATATTATCTCTGCCACCCGGCAAATAGTAAATGCTTGTTCGTATAACATACCCTGAGATCGGAAGTCGCGCAAACATAGCCAAAGTTTTGGTAGATCCAAATATGAGGGTGATAAGTTTATTCTTCTGTTTCCCAAACAATTCAGTAATCAATCATCTCTTTGATACTTGAAACAATTAACATTCTCCTCGATTCCATCCAAATCTCTGAAACAATAAATTAATAATAATTATTTCATTCAAAAAATAGAATAATTGAAAGATAAGTAATCAAAAAAATAAATTCTTATCTATAATTGTAATATTGTAAATTATAATATTAAAATAATTAGTTGATTCTTTGGTTTTCGAAATAATTTAAACACTCAATGACCCCTCGGATGATTAAAATAATTAGAAAATTTTTTTCTTCATGTGTGAGACAATGCCAAAGACTTGCACGATTCTCAAGAACATGTAAAGAACCTCCGCATCCCTCGAATACCAATCTCTACAATCGTTTAGGCAAGAATTTCTTCTTCCGCAATAATTAAAGGCGTTCTCCTTTTTCCGCGAGTCTGAGTCATAGATGTAAAACGATATTCAAGAACTCTTGTGAATCTTACTAAGCTTAACAGAGACTTCTCTTAGTGATCCCACGCGTAACTTTATGTAGAAATTATCCAGAAATATGCTGGAGCATCGCTTGTGCTCTGCAAAGCCTAAACGTGAAGCGCAGGTGAAAGTACACGCTTGTTGCCTTGCAATTAGCAACGGGCCTATTATTAAGCACAGACAAACCGTGGCAATGCATATACATATACATATAGAATATATAGTCAATGTTCTGACAAAGTTGTTGGTTCTGCTGTTGATGCTCTTCTCTGGCTGTTATATGCGAACATTAATGAATCACGCGGAATTCGTACGTCGTTGAGA